TTCTGTGTTGATATTTCTGGCCGAGCCTACGGGCTCGGAGTACCTACGGTAAACTCGGCATTGTGCCACATACATTCTGCGTGGGGAGACTGTTAAATATCAGTCGGGACGTAGTGTAACTAGACAATTCGAACAGACACTTCTACCTGCTGACTAATAACGCTCTTATATTGTATAATTGTTCTGTTATTTCAAATACACTTGTTCAATCTACCTTCTTATTTCCGTGTCTTTGTTTCTGGCCCGTAACAGGCCACAACATACATGTGCCCAGATCCGAACGAAGCACAGTATTATTTCAATGTGACCTGGCTCTCCACAACAATCAGTCATCAAAGATACTAAGGAAATGCAGAAGACTGGGTGATGATCTGTGGCAAAGGACATGAAAGAAATAAAATAAACATTTTTCAGCAATAAAGGAAGCCAACAAATTCAAAAGGGAATTTCTAAGGGCTGAATAAGTGCAAGTAAATATTAATATGCTTACTACAGTGGTAAAGAACTTAAAAATAAAAGCGAAAACAAATTCAGTGTAACAAATGCAGAACCGATTGCAAGATAATCCTCTTCATGTTCCTCTGCTCGTCCCAAACTCGCTAACGTGGAAATACCCCGTACCCATCAGTGGTTACGTTGTGCAGGGTTAAAATCGGAAACCAAAGGTTCTATTTCTGCTGCACATGACCAATACTTAATAACAAGAAATTACCAAGCACACGTACTAAAATATGGTGTTAGAAAAATATTCAGTGATTAATTGACATAATGATTGTGAGTGTAAGTGTGTACTTGGACTCAGTGAAAAGCGAGGAATACTGAGCAGGAGTAAAAAAATAAGGAGACAAGACATCATCTGCTGTAGAACGTGAACAGTGTCTACAATTAGAATAAATCAATTTTCAACTCAGATTTCCATGTTCACCGGGATCGTTATATACCTGAAGAAGACCAATGGTCGAAACGTCATAATAACAATGAAGATGAGGATAATAATCCAAAGATAAATAGTTTAAAAAATGTTGTTTACCCAGATCGTTATATACTTGATGAAGACCAATGGTCGAAACGTCGTGATAACAAAGAAGGTGACGATAATAGTGATATTCGGTGATAAATATCCAGAAAGAATTGACCATCTTATATCAGTGTTAGCACCCACTGAATATAAAACTCAACATGACAGCACGAGCCAGTATTTGCACTGTGAAGTATGCAAAACTTACGGGAAGGTAACTGCAAGAAACAGGTAAGAACACCACCCAGAATCGTTTACAGAGATAGGACACAGTGAGAAGTATCAAAGCTAATCACCCAGACCTCAGAATGTGGTTTTTCATTCACATAGCAGTCCCTGCAGATTGTAATGTATATTTGAAGATCTTCAAAAAGCTATCAAAATACATTCATCTTGAAATGAAAATCTCAAACATTAGGACATAAGAGTCTGTCTATATTTCTGAGATGAGGTATTATGTACATTATTTACATTATTCGGACTATTGTCCTCATCTATATACTTACCTGGCGTTATGCTGGGTGTTTTGACAAATATTGGATCGTTTCTTGGCCTTAGGCTGAGATTCGATCAAGGCTTCGACTAGCTTGGACTGGCTCCGGCCTGGACTTGCTAGGACAAGTCATGACCAGCTTTGACTAAGCTCTGACCAGCTTGGACATGTTTTGACCAATTATGACCAGTGGCCTTTGAGTGGAAACGCTCGGGTTTCCCACGTTAAACGACCTTGTGTCACATCTTGACCTTGTGGGAGTCAAGTAAATACCTATCTTTGTCGCCATATTTATTACAACGTTTCGGCCGTTGTACATTCTGGCCTTCTTCAGGTGGTTGGAGTCCAAATTCGTAAACTTAAGGAATCAGTACATATGCTAGGCCACAAAAATCTCCTGAGCCTACTAAGCATAGAAATAAATACAATATGGGAACCAGTAATAAGGAGTGCCAGAGAAAAGCAATGATAGAAAAGTTGCAATATGAGCTCTGGTAAAAACATGTAATGGTAACAGCAAAATTGCAATATGAGCACTGGTAAAAATGGTTGCTGAAGACATTAGGTTTATAATATCCAGAAATTCGTACCCAGATGGACACAGTGGATAAAGGCGTTGGTTAGATCCAATGACAGGACCCAAAGAGTGTGAGTTCAATACCCAGTTAAGACAGTGGAGAACTTTCAGTGGGAAATTAGCAGGAAATAACTGATAACTGACATCCATCAAAAATGGCACGTTGAACTAGAACAGTCTACCCCAGTGAGCGAAATAAAGGGTTCAGTTCGAAATTCCGACGGACAACGGCCGAAACGTTGTGGTAAATATGGCGATAAAGATGAGGACAAATAATGTAAATAATGTTTTAGGGCATAAATAATTGGAACATTCGTATTGAATGAAAAAGATTCCCAGAGATTCGTTGAAGGGGATTGCTGGTTGCCTATGCCTTAAAGAAATACAAATAGTGTTCTCACAAATGCAGCTAACATATTACGAAGAAATTTACTATGTAAAATGGGTTTGATCTTTTGTTTTACAAAAAATATTCAGTGGAAAATCTCATAAAGCGATTTCCGACCTTAGGTCTATGTTTGTGACCCGGAAGGAAATGTGTTTACAACAGAAAAAGAAAATGATAATAAGAAGAGTAAGAAAAATTACCAAAGAGTAATTTTAAGTGTCTAATTACCAAGTCCGCTGCTGTATCTGTGTGTAAAACGGGCACCGGAAGTGAGTTATTTATCCACATTTGGGACGTTTCCTTTTGATAAGGTTTGGTGGATGATATGCGCAGCTCCACCCACAGTAATCTTTTGTAGCCCTGAGATGCTGATGTGTCCAGGAATTTTACTCACATGACTTTCGGTACCATTCTTTTTTGTGGGGAAATATTGGAATCCTGTGGGCAAGTCATATCAATTCGTTGGCAGGTTCCTATGTTTGGTCTATATGCATCAATATTTCCCTCTCTGAGGACTGGGGAATTCACCAGTATAGACCAGGGCAGGCAACCTACGGTATGCGTGCCACATGTGGCTCGCCAAGCAATTTCCAATGACATGCAGCAGCAAATGACATCAAGAAGTCCGAAGCAATAACTACTACAACGCGAAGAAGTTATTTAGCTGTTTCAATTTTAAGATATACTAAAATATATATACAATATATTACTATATAAAATATTTTATAGAACTGCTTACCTCGGAGTTCTTGACAAGATCCAGAGATGGATATGTAATCTAATTGGCCCTGATCTAGCGTCTCGTCTGCAGTCACTCTCTCACAGACGCACCGTCGCCTCTCTCTGTCTTTTCTACAAATACTCCCATGGTAACTGCTCGGATGAGCTGCTCTCTCTGGTTCCCAGACTCCATGAATTCAAGCGCCCTACGAGGCTGGCATCCCGCTCTCACCCTTACACCGTAGAAACCTTCAAATATAGCCGTCTCTTCTACTCCAATAGCTTCATACCTCGCACCTCTCGCTAGTGGAACACCCTCCCCAATTACTGTTTCCCTGAAAGCTATAATCTCCAACTATTCAAATGTAATGTCAATCGACATCTCCAATTACCTTGATCTACCCACTATCCTCCTCCTCTTCCTTTCTCCTATCACTCTTATCTGCTCTCGCTCCAAATCCTCCGCAACCCCCTGCACCCTAGTGGCTTCACGCCTTGCTTGGGGCATAATGCTTAAAAAAAAAACAGGTACATTGAACTTGACTTTATAAAAATACGTTTGCTGTAAATCTGGTATGGTTGACAAAACTAAACTGGCTGTTGAACTCGAAAAAGACCTACAATTTGTGGTTGAATAGGGAAAAAAACGGCTTGTAAACGCCTCTAAAGCGAAACTGCCCTCCTTTACCGACCACAGAGAACACTCCCTGTCTCCTATCAGAATGGCTCATCGAGAGCGTCTCGTTACGTCTGCTTAGTCTCACACTGTCCACTGACATGAGGTGGAATAAATACTTGAATCAATAGCTTCATCTACAGCAAGGAAAGTTGGTTCTCTGTGTCGCGTGCCAGTAAGTTTTTCTAGTCTGAGCCGATCGTTCAAATCTATAAATCAACCATCTGTGCTTACATGGAATATTGCTGTCAGATACGGTGAAAAAATTATTTTACCCCGGTCTCATCTGGACATCGTCAGTCAGATTATCGCTAATTATCAGAATGGGTGGTCTATTTAACACGGCCAGACCGTCGCCTCGAAAAGAAACATTTCTATGGTTCCAGTCACTCTTTGGTGAACATTACTGATAACATAGTTTGTTCCCCGTCCTTCTCTGGATAATTCCGCTGTACACCTCCACAAAATCGAGAGACAAATCTGCAATTTGATAGGTCCTAATCTGGCATCTAGTCTACAATAGCTATCCCACAGACGTGCCGTGGCTTCCCTCTGTCTTTTCTACAAGTATTTTCACAGCAACTCTGTTCCAACAAGCAACTTCCGCTGGTTTCCAAACTGCATTGATTTAAGTGAGCTACCAGCTGGCATTTCGGTCCCACCCTTTCAATGTCAAAACGGTTAAACGTAACCGTCTCTTCTACTCCAACAGCTTCTTCTCTTGCACTTTGCGTCTGTGGAACTCCATTCCTCTTACTTGCTTCCCCGATGACTATAACCTTCAAATATTCAAGTGTAATGTCAATCGACATCTGATACCCTGAGCTTGTTCACCGTCCTTCTCTGGATACTCTCCTGAAGCATGCCTCTTTACTCTTGTCCTCAATACTCTGGAACCCATTGCGTTCTAGTGGCACTCCCGCCTTATTTGGGGTGAATTGCTTTGACATAAAAAAAATGAATGATTTTAAAACCCTAAGTCGGAAAATAGTTATCAAAATGTTGCCGACATTTGGTATAATCACTCCGTTACTATCTGTGACATCATTTGAGTTCTTTTTCAATCAGATATACAGGATTTCAATATCTCAGTTCGAATAGACATGGTAATGAATATATTTTCCTAATATGTCATATCTATTAATCTATTCTTCCTCGGCAAGGAGTGTGCACCCTGAAATTATGTGATCAATTGTTATTATTATTATTGTTATTATTATTATCATTATTATTATTATTAGTGATGTGACTATTATTAATTTATTAAAAGCAATCATAATTTAATAAAGAAGAAACAACTATTGTATAAGCGTGCTTAATATTAGAATTACATTTGTTCAATGCAACTCTCTTTTAAGCCTTTATGTTACGTTGATTTATTTTTTAGTTACTGATATTATAACTCTTGTTCTTCCTTTGTTTAAACTCTTGTCATAGCGTCTCTTGTGAGCCATTTTTTTTTCATTTCCTTTTGATACAGCCTCCAATTTTCCCGCGTAGCCATTTCCTTGACAACGCCAACGCTCCCAAGATTCCTCACAAAAAATGGCGTAGAATAAACTCATTCTGGCCGACCGTCCATCGTCTACAGAAATTGACTTCTATTCATACGAGCCAACAACTGACTGCCACATTCAGTCCAAGCACGATTTTCTCTCTCATTCTCTCTTCTACTTTCTCTCTCGTTCTCTCTCTCATTTTCTCACTCTTATTCCGTCTCTCTCTCATTCTCTCACTCATTCTCTTACTCATTCTCTCTTTCATTCTCTCTCTCCCACTTTCTCTCTCATTTTCTCTCTCATTTTCTCACTCTAATTCTGTCTCTCGCTCATTCTCTCTCTTATTCTCACTATTATTCTCTCTCTTCCACTTTCTCCCTCCTTCTCTCTCTTATTCTCCCTCTCATTCTCTCCTCTCATTCTGTCTTTCTCTCATTCTCTCTCACATAATGACTCTCATTCTCTCTCTCATTCTTTCTCTCATTCTCTCTCTCTCTCATTATCTCACTCTCATTCTGTGTCTCTCTCATTCTCTCTCTTCCACTTTCTCTCTTATTCTCTCTCTTTCTCATTTTCTCACTCTAATTCTGTCTCACACTCATACTCTCTCTCATTCTCTCTTTCATTCTCCCTCTCATTTTCTCACTCTGTCTTTCTCTCATTCTCTCTCACATCATCACTCTCATTCTCTCTCTCATTCTTTCTCTCATTCTCTCTCTCTCATTATCTCACTCTCATTCTGTCTATCTCTCATTATTTCTCTCATTCTCTCTCTCCCAGTCTCTCTCACATTCACTCTCTCTCATTCTCTCTCTCTCTCTTTATCTCTCTCTCTAAGACTTTGCTTTTCTCCAACTTGAAAAGGATGGTTAATAAAAATCTCCTTGCAGTGAGCTGGCGAACCGGCTGACAGAATCAAGATGGCCGAATTTATTTTTGCTTTTCATCATTTATCAGCTGCGTAAAAGAACACAAAATAGCTTGTATGAGTAAATCTAATTCGAACGCGTTCACAACAGTTTAGTGGTTCATCTTTATTAAAATCCCTTTCTCGCCATTGTTTCTTGATCCTTTCATCATTAGGGCTAATCTCTTTGGTAATTATTAGGTTGAGTAGTAAATAATTTCCGCTTTGGTTTATGAAACCTATTCTTCAAAAAAATAAAATGTAATTCCATTTCATTCAATTATATTGAATATTTAACATTGTTGTCGCATCAGGTTTGCAGCATGTGCTATGTATTCAGAAATTCTAGTTAAAGTACAAAAATAATACGCAAATTTATTAGTTATCATCTGACATCTCGGCTTCAGTAACCCTCCGACCGCCGTAACATAACTTCCCTGTGTGCTTTCTCTAAACACTTTCATGGTAATTGTTCTGATGGTATTTGCTTCTTTTTTTTTTTGTATCTCGATTTTACGAATTGAAGCGCAGTACTAGATTGGCGACAAGGTCTCATCTCGCACTTCGTGCCTGTGGAATTCTCTTCCGGCCTTTTGCTTCCCAGTCAAAGTTGGTCTTCAAATATTCCAATACAATGTCAGTCATTGTCTTTTCCATTCATCTTCTTCTACTTTTCTCTTTTCTCACACGTTAATATATATATGTTTTTAATTTTCTCATATTTTTCGCACACAGTAACCCCTTTCGTTTGGTGGGTTTATTGCCTTGCTTGGAGTGAAATAATAATAATAATAATATATATATATATATATATATATATATATATATATAGTGCTGTTCGATAAAAGTGACTCAACTGATTTTTTTTACTAAATGTTTTCTTCTCCGATGAAACGAGTTGAGCTAAATTCAAAGGATAGGTGATCTAAAATCCGAAGAAGAAGCTTTGGAATCTCCTTGAATTTAACAGTAAGTACTGTCAAGCATCCATTCAGTATAATGTTCTGGGAATGCTTTTCTTTTCATGGGACTGGTTTCATGGGACTGGTTTCAGGAAAAGCTATTGAAAAGACCCTCAGGAGCAAGCAGTACCAAGCTCAATTTAATGCAGGATAATACTCCCTGTCACAAATCAAAATTGATGAAGGAATACTTTGAGGTGAGTGTTATGACATGGCCGCCCCAATCTGCTGACCTAAACCCCATAGAAAACTTATGGAGC